GTTTTGCTCTGTCTTGTGTTTACACATATTATTATCTCTGCATGTCTATTTAGATAAGATAGGTTGGATAAACAAGCAGGAGAAGAAAAGAACAGGACCCACAGTTCCGGGGGACATGGGAGAGGGGGAGGCAAGGGAAAGGAAGTGGGTGTTAACAAATTCAAGGACAAGGGAACAACAAGTAACCGAAAATCAACGGTGAGGAGGGTGTAGGAGGCCTAGTAGGGTTTGAGCAAGGGCAAAGTAACCAAGAGGAATTACTGAAACTCAAATGAAGGCTGAACATGATAGTGGGACAAGAGGAAAGTAAAAGGAAATAGAGGAAAGAACTAGGAGACAAAGGGCATTTATAAAGCTCTAAATACAGGCATGTATGTATGTAAATATATTTATATAGGATGGTGGGAAATGGATCCATGTACATATATTTATAGATTTAGTATTAAGGTAGTAGATAGACATTGGGCCTCTACTTAAGTACTCCCTCAACACAAGAACTTTGTTCTATAATCCAGCATCTTGAGATGCTCACCTTCCTGACACGATTGCTGAAGACAAATGGGTGCATAAGCAAATGTGGTGAATAAAGCTGGTGGTGCCCTACTATTTCAAGATATAGTGTCTGGGGTCTTAAAGGCTTGAAGATAAAGAAGCGGCCATCTAACTGAGAAGCAACAAAGCCCACATGAAAGAAGCACACCAGCCTGTGTGATCACAAGGTGTCAATGTGACCAGGTATCAGGCATCAAAGGACCCCCTGGAACTGTGGTTCCTGGTGTTTTTTCTCCAGCTTGTTTATCCAACCTATCTTATCTAAATAGACATGCAGAGATAATAATATGTGCAAACACAAGACAGAGCAAAACAAAGCAAAAAAAGAAATAAAACAATAACAATGACAAAAAAAAAAGAAAACGAAAAATCATGTCAATGTGAAAGGGTGGGGAATGCGGAGTGGAAACTCAAAGCCAATCTGTAGGCAATTGGACATCCCCTTACAGAAGGGTCACAGGGAGGAAACAGGCCAGTCAGGGTGTAGTATGGCACCGATGAAACATACAGCTTTCCTCTAGTTCTTTAATGCTTCCTCTCCCCCTCTATCATGACCCTAATTCTACCTTATAAATCTTGCTAGACCAGAGCATGTACACGGGTACAGATAAGAGCTGGAAACATAGGGAATCCAGGAGAGATAAACCCCTCGGGACAAATATTGAGAGTAGCCATACCAGGAGGGGAAGGAGAAGGTGGGGGGAGAAAGGGGGAAATGATCACAATGGTCTACCTGTAACCCTCTCCCAAGAGGATGGACAACAGAAAAGTGGATAAAGGGAGACATTGGGCAGTGAAGACATGAAAAAACAATACTAATTTATAAATTATCAAGGATTCAAGAGGGATAGAAGGGGGGCAGGAGGGAAAACAAGAGGAGCTGATACCAAGGGCTCAAGTAGAAAGAAAATGTTTTGAAAATGATGATGGCAACAAATGTACAAATATGCTTGACACAATGGATTGTGATAAGAGTTGTACGAGCCCCCAGTAAAATGATTAAATGGGATAAATTCTAAGAAAACAATGCCCGTGCTGCTTCAAACTATGGAGAAGTGAACATAACGAAACAATATTGAAAGCTACTAGAGAAAAATGTGCAATGCATGTAAAACAAGGACCCCTAGGACCACAGAGCTCCTATCAGATGCTGAAGAAACAAAAACGACATCGGGTAAATAAGCAATTGCATGCGAGGTGCTTAGCCTAGAAGGGATTCTACTTCTACATCATGTTTATTCTTTTCATATGTTACTCTCTCTAGTCTATGTCCTCAAGCGTCCCATGATGTTTGATCCAAGAAATGGAGGCAGATGCACCTTTGATATCATTTGTGTTGATTTCCCCAAAATCCCATTCTTGTGAGATGATTCTCTACGGAGCCATGTGCTCTTTTTGAGCAGGCTTAAGTCTGTACGTTATCCCAACTGTCACAAAGGGATGCTAACACCCCTATTATGAACAGGGATGCAGGCCATCTTTGGGTTACGAACGGATCTCTTCCGAGGTGTGCCTTTAAGTCTAATTTGTAGTTACGTTGGAACAGGTGGACATGTTCTTATTTAGCCTGACTAGGATGCAAGAAGGGGCCCTGGAGGTGCGGTTGGGTAAGTGTTGGATTACTAATCTCAAGGTGGGTGCTTCTAGTCCACGAGCTACGCCTCAAGATGAGGTTATCAGACCCCGAAAAGATTTCACATCTCAGGGACCCTACATAGGAGCCCCTGTGCATCAGAATCAACTTGATGTCCTTGGGGTTTTGAACGTTTGATACAAGAAAACTCTCAAAGCCTTATCTGTCATTTAAAAGATGTGCTGTCTACTCCAAACTTCTTTCCTTTTCCAAACACTTCCATTTCATCGGTCAGCCCTAGCCCCACAGGCTTCTCTTGTGAACTCTGAAACACAGTGACGGGCGTGTCACTAACAGGAAAACTGTCATCTCCCTCCCCGATATCATCTAACTGGGAACACAGGGCAGACCTCTCTGTATTTGCTGTAGCTTTCAGTTGCCAGAAAAATGTGATGAAGCCCAAAAGAACATTTTCATTAAGCTAGGACCTACCCGTTCTTCGACCTTCGACGCCAGGACTCTGTTTCCACGCCTGATTTGAACATCCTCTTATTTCAAGGTACCAAAAACCCTGCCTTTCTATTCCCTCCCTCGGTTAATTATGTACGATACTATTTCAAGTGCGTATCTCTTTCACAGTCCACTTACACGTCAGATATGTTAACCCACAAATAAATCTAATTTAAATAAATGAAAATATAACCCAGAAGAATTTTGTTTTGCTGACATTTTTCTCCATGGGAGCAGACTGGGGCATCAGTCAAATATAAGATTTAGCTTCGCATCACTTAAAAAGTCATTTATAAAATTCCATCAACGTGCGAGGCTTCTATCAATAGTCATCACAGAGTGAGTTGGCAAATGTGCAACGTTCAAGGGTTTAAATTATTAAAGGTCTTTAATTATTAATTATTTAATTGATTGGACTTAATAAATGAAGGTGAGTGACAAATGAAAGCTAGCACCAAGACCCCGATCTCAAAAGGAATCAGGAAGCTCAAAAGGAGGTCTTCACAGCTTGTCTGCTTACAGCCACTGAACATACAACCATTGGTCTCTATCTGCCCGGAGCAACCAAGGAAGAGGATATGCAGAAACTGGACATGGTAATGAACTGCAAGTAGTCTAATTGCCTCCATGAGCGATAACCTCCTCTGCCGTGAGCCCAGAAGAAATGATGGTGCCCAGATACCGTTACTAAAGGGTTTGATCGAGGACCCCAGAGGTGGATCTTGAGGTACAGCAGGAAGAGTGTAGAACAGAATTTCAAAGTCTAATGGAAACCAGACTTACTGAATATATATGGAGACTGGAGGAATGGCTGAATCGATTGCCTGGAAATAACGTTTAACCCTTGAGCACAAACTCATCTTTAAATCACAGAGAAATGTCATGAATGGATGTTTACTTTGAGTCTTGGGCCCTTTTGAAAAATCTCTATGAGATCCAAATGTCCAAGCACACGTGGGAACCTTAGGGGCCGAGGGTCTGAGTGACTGCAGCGAAGCAGTGTGAGCAGAGAGGGTCACGGCGGTGTCACGCTGTGTCGTACGCAACCCGTGTCCTGGAACTGCGCATGTAACGTTGTTGACTGAGTGGATGTTTCCATCATCATCAACCACAAACTACTCAGGAAGAGGTGGGCTTTTTATTGACAGGGGCGAGGGTCATCCTCACCTGTCTTCTGTCAGCTTCATTAAGGTTGTTCCTCGAGTAGAGAAGACAATGAAGGACATTCTTAGCTGGGGGCTGGAAAGGAAAAGAAACTCCATTAGGACAGATGGATGGGCACGCCCTTCCCCGACGCCTTCATCCTTTGACATCATGCCAAGCAGAGAGGAGAACCTACCGTGGAAGAGTGGACCTCAAACCTGGTTGTCTCAAGTACAGACCCAGCAGGAGACTCAACGTTAGGACTCAGAGAGAAGATGCGCTTCATCTTCCTGAGGTCTACGTCTGACTTGACATCACGGGCCAGTCAATGTTTACTCCAAAATAGAACACTTCAATGCATCACCACCACCCCGTGCTCTGAGTAAAGTGTCGCTAGAAAGGGAAAGGTCTGCCTGGTGTCCATACAAAGGAGGATCCGGTTAGGCAATGTGTGACAGTGCCTCCTGTGACACAGAGAGTATCTCAGGCAGTTACAGTGTGAGGCCATCATTGGCCAGGAAGATCATCCAAAGAAAGCCCCTTTGCTCAGAACCTAGGAGCACACCCACTTTTATTTTTTACCTGGCTTCCCAAGACGGTTATCCTAAAAGAAGACACTGTGCTGATCAGTTACAAAACCATCTGTTCCATGTGGTATACTTAATGAAGAAAGAAATTGGCCTGGTTTTTATGTCAGTGTCTAGGAGCTTTACCAACCTCAAAGCCACCCTACAATCTAGAAGCGACCACAACTCTCAGCTGAGCACCCACCATGCTTCTCAGTCTGCAGGATGCACTGTCGGAATGTCATGGATTCAACAGGGGAGGGCCACCGGGTGAGACCATCTGAGGAGCCAGCTAGCTCAGCCCTGATGGTGCCAGCTTATTTCTTCACATCGAAACCCTTGCACCTGACCTGGCTCCAGAACTTATCGTTCCAAGGACCCAAATTGTTTCTCAAACCTGCTTCTCTTTTTAACTCTCTTATCTCTTGGTTTGGGACCTCAAACTCCTCAATCTCCCACCCTCTGCAGTTGTTTCCTGGGGCGTGGTGGGGGTGGGGGTGTTCTTGCCTCTC